TGCCTGTTTTGCAACCTTCTTAGCCTTCCTATACTCAGACTCCGCTTCCTCCGTCATGTCCCTTCTCCATACCCTAAACCTCTCCTTCTTGACTTCCAAAACCCTTCTTATATCTTCATCCCACCACCACGTCTCACCATGCCTACACTTTCCTTTCGTCCATCCACATACTTTATCTGCCGTAGCCAACACACAGTCCCTGTATCTCTCCCTAACATCTCCATCCTTACCACTCTCCCAATTTTCAGCCACCTTCACTTCAAATGCCTTCCTCACCTCTGCATCCTGCAACTTCCATGTCTTTCTCTTTGCCACAAACTTATCCTTTTTCCTCCTCCCCATTTCTTTTGATGTCACATCCATCACAACCATACTATGCTGCAACATACCAGGTATCGCCTTCACATTCTTCACATACTTCCTATGTTTGGCCCTTACCAATATATAGTCTATCATCGATCTATGTTCCCCTGACCTATAAGTAATCAATCGCGCTGGTTCCCTTGTGAACCAAGTATTCCCCAACTAATCCGCTAACTCCAACACTCTACGCCCTTCCTCATTCCGTATACCATATCCCCATCCCCCATGTACACCTTCATATCCGTCTGCATCCGCCCCCACATGACCATTCAAATCACCCAACAACACCACAAACTCATTCAACCCCGCTTGCCCAATCTCGTCAGAAACATCATCATAAAACCTATCCTTCTCCTCTTCCTTCCTACTTTGTTGCGGAGCATATCCTGATATCACCTTCACTATTACTTTTCCAAACACCATCACCACCACAATTACCCCATTGCTTCTCCGCCTCACTTCCAACACCTTCTCCACCAACTCTTCTCTTACCATCACACCAACTCCTCCCGTACCATCATCCCCCTTCTACCACAACTTATATCTTCCTCCTTTAGCCCCCACAAACCTTGTACCCTCACCCTTCCATCTGATCTCCTGTAATGCAGCCACGTCAACCATTCTCCTCTGCAGCTCCTCCACCACTTCCAAACTTCTTCCTGTCAACGTGCCTACATTCCAGGTACCAAACCTCCAACCCCTTGGTCTACAAGTAGTCCTTCCATCTATAGTGCCTTGCACCGCCACACTATAGAGTAGGGTGCCAGTAGCCAGACCATCCACAGGGCCTTGCACCACAACCCCATGGACTGGGTCTTTGGAGATTCTTCGCACCCTCTTCTGCCGGATACTGAGGGCCATTGTTTTTTCCGTCATCATAAGTATTATTATTTGGCTAGTTTTTACACAGGACGCCCTTCCTTACGCAACCACAGTTATTAGCGGTGGGCCTAGCCTTTGATGATCCAACATCACTCACAAGGCAGTGAGGGTCAGTTTAATGTCATAACCAGGACATAATAGGATGAAAATATAGATATATATATATATATATATATAGACATTTATAATTAACAATAAAATATATATATATATATATATATATATATATATACACACTCACACACGCATCAGTCCACACACACACACACATTAACCACAAAGATGTCAAAGATAATATAAATATATAAGCTATGTCATAATGCCAAGTGAGGATCTCCAGTTGAACATCATGTCATATGTCGATCCAACTTCGTCTTAAAGGTTTCAGCATCTTTAGCCATCACAATGTCCGCATCCAAGCTATTCCATAACTCAACCACCCTATTGGAAAAACAAAATTTCCCATGATTCGTGTTAAAACTATGAGTAGACAACTTGAACGGATGACCCCTGATAGGATCATCGTTAGGTTTTATTAAGTTAAATAAAATACGCTGTCACTTTATTGCATCATCAATCATTTGTACATTTTTTTTTTATTGACTTTCAAATCATTCAACATATTCAGCGCCTCCACGCTGGATAAATGGCATGCTATAATAATGCACCTCAATGAATTCTCATCAGCTGTTGTAAGTTTTAACAACTGTTATCAAATAAATCAAACTATCACCCACGCTTATAATTAAAACAAAGTATCTTTAAATAAATGTTTTCAAAATTTTTAAGAACTTTGAAGAATATTTTAATTTTATTCTCTCTGGACGCGTGTTTCGCATGCCATTTGTGGGGCAAAGTTTTGTAACATCAATTGTTGCACATCTTTGCTGCTCACAGCTCATTTTTATGAAACACAAGCTTCAAGTCATGAATAAAATGGATTTTAAAAATTCATTTTATAATCGAAGCCGAATTTTTTTTACTCGAATCCGGATGCTTTTAGAGTTTCGATTTCTGGAAGAATATCCTCCCAGTCCGACACTGATTAAAAGGATCCATTAAAAATTGCTCGTTACTTCAACACAATTGTCCTCTTGTTCACTTTATGTTTCTATTTATCTGGATTGTTTAAAAACAACATAAAAAGACATAACCAAAATTTCTACAGTGATCCAAGAAGACTGAGTCTGAATTTTGATGTTGAACTATTATTTTATTTTTGCTCAGAAAGAGATTTATCTCGCATTGACACACTAATGTTTTTAACAACCTGTTCATATTCCTGTATTAATAACTTGGTAGTCGCATTTGCCCTAACGTCGCTTATCTTATAACATTATACATATACCGCTTAATATAATATATAATAATATAATAATAATAATATAACATATCGCTTACAAGTTACCTTCACATAGCTGGTATCCATTTTGCGTTTTTTACAATTGCTCGATTATGGAAGTTATTTAATCTGAATAAAAAATTCTGCTACAAAATCTTTTAGTTTTAAAATATTTGGTATTAATTAATAATTTTCACGTTAACTTTTTTTATTATAACTGAAGCAATTTTTTTTTAGTTGCTTATAGTTGATGGAGAAAATCTGGTAGAAGATCCAATATCTGAAATGGAAAAAGTTCAAAATTTTTTAAAGTTACAAGACAAACTTGATTATTCTAAATTGTTGAAGTAAGTTTTTTTTAATGTTCAATCTGTTTCCAGTTAATAAGAACTCGTTAATAACATTTATGAGAAAGCTATAATAGAAAAACTCATATATTTATGGGGATATTAAAAGATATAATATTGTCAAAAAAATACCTGCCACTGAAGTTGTTGCTATAATAGAAAAACTCATATATTTATGGGGATATTAAAAGATATAATATTGTCAAAAAAATACCTGCCACTGAAGTTGTTGCTGTAATTCGTCGTCTGATCAACTTGCCCGTTCTCCAGTTTGCAAAATATTCTGTTTTAATAATTCATCTTGTTAGAAGGTGTCACACGCAGTTCCTCAAATCTTGGCTTCAAAGCCTATTTAATCCTTAAAATATATAACGTCTTGCAATGAGTTCAAAGATTTTTCATTTTGCCTTCTTTTTTTGCACACAAACTACAACCTACTGTGTCTTCTAGTAGATGCCCATGTCTGTAGCTTCTCAAATTAGGTTGATGTTCGGTGCAGAATCAATTAAGGTTACTGCGTTTGCTCTTATTTTCATTTCTCTATATGTAGTCTCTTTTATCTTTTAGAGTGCCTGATCATAGAAATGAAAGTTTTACGCAGCTCAAAAAAAGAACTGATAAAACGAAAAAAGGCATAACGACAGCTATGAAGTTGTAAAACTGTGGAAAGCATTCTCGTTAAAAAACAGATTGACGTTGAACAACGCAGCAACACAAAATTAAAATCTACTGTTTCTTCAACAGATTTTAATATATTAGTATCAACCACTCCGATTAACCTAAAATTGGGTAATGTGAACAATACAGATATGTAAATGAAACCTCACCTAGATGTTGGACTCAGACCTGCAAGAGCGTGTAGATGGATCTGTTGATGCGGATACAAAGATTGTAGGGACAGACAATGTTATATAAACGAGCAAACTGTCAACGAGCTGCGAAGATATGGGCAAGTGGCTGGTGCAGTGATGATCCCAGACGGGTTGCTATGATGCAGGCAAGAAAGTGGCTGGAGCAGGACGGAAGAGACGGCAGAGCTGTGGTAACCTCATAATCAAAAGACTTTGCTGATGATAAAATGTATAAAAATATTAAATAAATACAAGATTTTGTAATACCAATAGTAAGGGAGGTGCAGATCAGGAAGTGAATAGTGCACAAACCACCGTTATGCGCTATGACACCAGTTTAAGAGGCATGCAAAGATGTTGCCCACTGAAATGTGGACTGAAAGAGAAAACTATGGTAAACGTTTGGTTGTGTTGAAAAAAACTTGCTTATGCGAAATGATTATTGTAAAATTAACAGATTCAAAAAATGCAAATGACAAACCTTAATCCTACCGATTTGTTTCAATTGGTGCAATATTTTTAATTTTTGTTTATTATTATTATTCAATAGCTATTTTTCCTCTGTTAAATCATTGCAATCAATACTTTTTGGACGGTATGACATAAGCTTATTTGTGTTTTACGTTATTTGACATAATTTTTATATTTTGTTTTTTAAGATATAACACAAAGAAAGGATTCTTCTGTCCGGTCACCAATGGAGGAAAGCTTAAATGTTTGGGAAGTGGCAAAGGTCGCAAATATTCACCAATGGACGACAAATCAAAAGACTTTTTAAAACATTTTTACAAAAATTCAATCGAGGATCTGAACGATTTTTTAACGAATCATGGTTATTCCAAACCTGGTTGGCTGATTAAGGAAATAAATGATATGAATGCATGAAACCAATAAAACCATTGATAAATAGTCAATTTTTGCCATTTACAAGCCAGTTGTTTCCGAATTCAATAGCGTGTCAAAGATATATTTTATGCGAGGAGGTTGCGTGTTATTTCTAAAAATAACTGAAATTCCTCAAAAAAGCACGTGCGATGTCGTTTATTGTCTTTGTTGGAATGTAATCCGTGGTATCTATTGTTATCATGTGTCATCTCAACCAGCCTCTGCAGATCAGCTGCATTAGACACTAGAGGGTCAGTTCTCTCCGATGTTTTTGGCGGCGTGATGGTTAAGGTGGCTGGAACTGTTGATGCAGTGTCCTAGTTCGAACGCAAAGAGATTCCCGCCTTACACATGCAACAGCTTGTTATGCGTTGTTTCACGTATATTTGTGCACTGTTTGTTGTAAAAATGATAATGCCTTTCAGTCGCTTACCATGGCGCTATATAAAACGACTATTATTATCATTAATTCCATTCAACAATTATGTTTCTATTTTTCCATCACTTTTTTCCATAATACTGTAAGCCGTAGTGATGATATTGGATCTGCATTCGATTTTTATAAACTAAATTTTGCACTGATTCTTTGTAACTTTTGACTTTTCGCATAGACATTTAAAAATTTCAACGAGTTTTCCTGTACTCACATATTTTCCAGTCGCTCAAAATCCTTTGAGCCAGATGGAATCAGATATTAGTTTGAAATCTAGAAAACAATGTCATAATAGATTGTTTGCTCGCTACTGCTACATCTTCCATCATAGTCTCAATAATGGCATCGGGCTGGATTGTTTTTATATGTGTTGGGGCCTACTTGCTCTCCATTCAAGTACCGATCATTACTTTATTCCAATATTTCTTTTAAGATGTATGAGGTGCTAGTGCTATTGATTAGTAATGACCGCAATCTTTCTGGTTGTTTCTTTTCGGTGTAATAACTTCCTTTGACTATTTTCATTTTACCTAGTTTCCTGACAGACTACAAATTTCTTGAAATTCAACTGGTTCTCTTGCTCTGGGCAGCTCAATTTGAGAACCTTCATTGTCACATGGTTGGGTTGTGAGTTTTGTTGTTTCTGATCTATTTATGCATGCATTTCAGTTTTTTTTTCAGTTAAGTGTTCACGTTATTTTTCATTTTTTTCCATTGCCATTTTTGTTTCTTTCATCGTTATTTCTGTGTATTTCTGTGTAGGCCAGTCCATTTTTAAGGCTTTCCAGATTTGTTTTTTGTATTTGTTTTTGTCTGCAAATAACAATTTTTGTATACAGTGCCCAACATTCATCTATCTTTATGTTGTTTCCGATCTACAGACACATTCTTTTCAGTTTTTTCATTAAATTGGTATTGCATCTTGTCATTTTAACACATTCCCCGTTTATTAAATCTTTTTTATCTTCGTCGTAATATTGCAAAAGACGAGGCGAGGAAACATTTTGCATTTTGTGACAAATTTTATTGATAGGCTTACCCACTTCTATTCGCACAAAATCTATCTTTTTCTTTTATTTTTTGAAAATTTTAGTAAGCTTTCTACTCTATCGCATAATTATAATACCTGATCATACTCGTCTCCTATGTTCTAAAAGTGTTGAATCTTCCAGCACGCAATTTTTATAACCGTGAGATAGACCATTGATCCATAGACCATTTATTCTAATTATATGATTGATCCTATATAAGAAATAAAATAAATATACTCAGGAGGATGCCTGTCGAGCACGACTACCTCAAATCATCTCGGCTATACGTAAACCAAAAAAGATACTAAATATACATAAATATTACGCAAATGCATGAAATAAATCAATTAAAAAATTGAAATGAATTGAGTTAAAAAAAAAATATTTACTAATAAACTATAAGACTGTGAAAATTTTAAAATTTGATGAGTTTGATGTATAAATTTTTCACGGAAACCAAAGAAGGAGATCATATTCTGAAGCGCATTAAAATTTGCGCGAGTGTGTTCGAAGGCCTTTACAGGTATTCTAAGTATATATGTTGGCCTTAGCGTTATAAAATGGATCTCCGAGTTTTAATGGTAATTAACATATTGCAGCTTCAACAGTGATCAGCATATTCTTTTAAAGGGGCAATTATATTTTGCTAAGGGGTAATTAGCACATTATGTATATGTTGCACGTTAAGCTTTTTATTATTATTATTATTATTAGCTTTTTATTATTATTATTATTCTTTAAAAATCAGGATTTGACAGACGCAGAAACTGTTACAGCATGCAAGGCAGTAGTACAAAGTTAAATAAATAAATAAAAAAACGCTGAAAAAAAATGTTTAAACATGAAAAATAAAATAGAATAAAATAAAATAGATAATAAGTAATAATAATAAAATAAATAAAAGAAAAAAAAACTGACAATAAAATGAAGTAATGGCATAAAAAAGGCAAATTAATAGACTAGATGATAACTTAGTGAGTTAGTGAGATGATCGATAAATAAAAACTAGTTGTGTGAATGATAAAGTTTTATTGAGTGTTAATATGTTTGAGTTGTTTTGTTTTGAGGATGAGTATTTTCCTGATATGTAGATTGGGTGGCGACTTGATAGTTATGTTTGCACTGACGAAGGTTGTGTGTTGTAGTTTTAATTGGTGGTAGTAGAGGATGGATGACGTGGTTGTTGTTATTTTCTATTTTCTTAAACAGCCTTGAATCGAGTGTGTTGAATATCTGAGTGACTGTAGGATATGATGCAGGTAGATAGTTGAAGCAAATTAGTTTTTTGATGAGAGATTGTAGTTGCTGAAATTGTTGTTGTGTAGCAAAATCAGACCAGGAGGAGCTGCATATTTGATGCGTGAGATTATTAGTAATTCCGTGATGTTGAATAATTTGATGCCTCTGGAACCATGTGAGCGGAGTGTTTTGAGTGCGTGAAATGTTTGAAAGCCTTTTGTGATGATGTGATTGATATGAGGGGCTATATTAAGTGTGGAAATATATCCATGGTAGAAATGAATGTGATGCCTAATATTTTTAATTGACTTGTGCGAGTGATTTATGAGTGTTCTGGAGGTAATGTTATTTTCTTACGGCTATTGTGAATGATGAGTTCGAATGATTTATTGAGATTAAGTGACAGATTGCATGTCGAGCTCTGACTGGATGGTGTTTGTGTTAGATGATGGGATGATAAGGTAGGTGTCGTCAGCGTATTTGACGATGTGATTAGAGCTATGAAAAGTTTTGAGAGTAGAAGCATTGATGATGGAGGTAGATGGCCCAAGGACAAAACCTTGAACTACGCTAGAATTAATAGGTAGAGTAGATGAAAGAGTAGAGCTAAAGAAAGTAGAATGACTCCTATTAGAAAGAAAATTTATAATATTATTGTAATTGTTGTAGAGGAAGAGAGGCTAACTTATTTGAAAGTGAGAAGCACTGGCGTACCGAGGGGGGGGGGCGAGGGGGGCGGATCGCCCCGGGCCTCCGATTTGGAGGGGGCCTCCAAAAAGCCAATTACGAAAATTTTTAAATAATTTATTTATATAGTAAGTGTATAGACGTGATTTTGTGTTTTGATTTTTTAATATATTTAATTATAAATAATCTGTAGTAATGCATATACTTAGTTAGAATAAACGCTTTTTTAAAATCCTGACCGAATTGGTAATCCACGTCTATTTTTAGTCGGACATTGACATTATTATACTTGAATGTGATTGGTTGATAAAGTTTTTGGACGAGTCGGCTTTTTCAAACATTTTTTGTTGTCTGTTCCGTTTGGTTTATTAGAGTGAGTATTAAATTTTATTTATATATTTATCAATCTCTTCTTTAATAAGTTTAAATATAACTACTATCTTTCAGGTAAGAAAAACATAAAATATACTTTCACTCACCGGTACTGACTCACTAGTTTAAATCTAAGGTACAAAAAGTGTTGGTCGAGACGGATAAAGGTAAAGACGGATATCTGTTCTCCTCGGTTTACGTGACTGATGTTACACCATTTTTTTCACTTTTAATTTTTTAAATTATATTTTAAGCCCTGAAGTTAAAATAAATTATTAGAATTAAAACACTATCAACTTTTAGATAGATACGTGATCATGAAGAGACATCATCCAAGTGGAGCACAAAAACGAAAAATTTTGAAAAGTAGAAGGGAAGAAACTGAAGCTCTGTCTGGATCAATGCTTAAATTTGTTAACCAAGTTGCCAAACCAGAATCCATCATTGCTAGTTCATCAAATCAGCAGACTGATTTAGATACAACCGTAGAATCTGACCAAGGAAAAACAACCACCGAAACTGAAACGTCAAACCAACAATGCGAGCATGAAATCAATTTTTCTAGTGAAAATGATATCTTTTTAAATTGTGATGTGGGAAATTGGACAATTCCGTTATCAGATAACATCAGAATCAGTATAGTAAAACTAAAGAGTGAATATTTCCAGAACAAAAATGGTCCATTTAGAGTGGTTCAAAGAGTAGGGAAGCAAACAAAGGGTCAAACTCGACAGTTGACAAAGCATCTTCCAAATGGTGAAAAAGTTCTCAGAAAGTGGATGGTTTATTCTCCTTCCAAAAAATGTTTATTTTGCTTTTGTTGTCGACTTTTTGCTGCTTGTGATAAAGAAAGTAATAATTTTTCAAAATTTGTTACAGGGTTTAATAATTGGTGGAAACTAAACCCTAAGATTTCACATCACGAAAATTCTGAAATTCACTTAGACAATCATGAAAAATGGAAAACGTTAGAACTAAGTTTGAATCTTAATAAAACCATTGATGCCGTTCATCAAGAAAATCGAGAACTGGAAACTAAAAAATGGAATGACATTTTACACCGCTTATTGGATGTCACTATGTTTCTAGCAAAACAAAATTTACCTTTTCGAGGCCACAGAGAAGATGACTTTTCTAACAACAAAGGCAATTTCTTAGAGTTAGTTGAATTAATTTCACACTACGACCCTGTCTTAAAAGAACATTTAGTGAGGTAGCAAGGCAGGAAACACGATTTCATATCTTTCCCCTAAAATTCAGAATGAATTTATTTCTATATTGGGAGATACTGCGAAACAGAAAATTATTGATGATGTAAAGCAAGCAAAGTATTACGGGATAATGTTTGATTCAACACCTGATATATCTCACCAAGACCAATTAAGTGAGATTATTAGATATGTTCATATAAAAAACAAAAATGTAGAGGTAAGAGAATCATTTTTAGGATTTTTTCCTCTTGCCAGAAAGAAGGCTATTGATATCACACAAAGAATTGTAAATATTATTGATGAAGAGGGTTTGTACATAAACCTATGTCGAAGCCAAGGTTATGACAATGCTTCGGTAATGTCAGGTGTTCATTCTGGGGTACAAGCCAGGATCCATCAAATAAATCAGAAAATTTTATTTGTACCTTGTTCTAATCATTCACTTGACTTGAGCGGGGTTCACACATTTGAAAGTAATCCAACTTGTGTAACGTTTTTTGGAACAATTGAAAGCATTTACAACTTCTTTTCTTCATCAACTCATAGATGGGATATATTGTCAGAAATAGTCGGGATCACTGCAAAAAGGCTAGCAGGAACCAGGTGGAGTGAGCAATATCATGCGGTGAAACCTGTAATGAATCATTTCAGCAAGTTGGTACAGGTTTTAGAAAAATTATGTGATCCATCAGAAAATGTAGATACGAGAGGTTCAGCTCAAATTTTAATGAAAAATATTCAAGATTTCAAATTTCTTGCTTATCTTCATTTCTGGAGCAGTACTCTTGAGGAAGTCAATCATACTCAAAAATACTTGCAAACAGAATGAATCGGTTTAGATAAAACCATTGAAAAATTAGATACCTTAAAACTTTTTTTGCATGAGAGTCGCGATGAATTGGATGAAAATGCATTGATATTTTCTACAAAAATTTGTGAAGAAATGGGAATAGCTACAGAAAAATTGGGTCGAAAAAGTCAAAGAAAGCTTATGCCTGGAGAAAAAAGTAAAGATGAAGCTTTAACGTTGAAACAGGAATTGAGACGATCAATGTTTCAGTCACTTGATAATTTTTATCAAGATCTTAGAAAAAGGATAGAATCAATGCAAAATGTATATGTAAAATTTGCAGCCATTCAATCATCACATCTTATTGGAATGGAGATAGAAGAACTTTCAAAGCTGATACCAAATCTGACAGAAACGTTTAATGAACTAGAAGAAAATGAAATGATACCCGAAATTATACGATTAAGACGTCATCTTCAAGCAGGGAAAATTGAGAAAGATGATGTTAAAAAATGGTCTGCACTGAAAATGTTAACCTATATAATAGAAATTGATTTACACGAGTCAGTTCCAAACTTATATTTAGCTTTAAAGATTTTTTTGACAGTGTGCGTTTCAACTTCTCCTTGCGAAAGAAGCTTTTCAAAATTGAAGCTGATTAAAAGTCAAGCAAGTCGACAATGAGTCAAGCAAAACTTAATGGCTTAGCAATCCTATCAATTGAAAACATAGTGGCGAGAAATATTAACTTTGATGAAACTATACAAATATTTTCTGATGCAAAATCTCGTAAAAAACAGTTTTAATATATTTTTCGATTAGCTGAATTAAAAAATTTTGTGGCATATGTATATGTGTACTGACATTTGTAAATGTTTTGTATCTATGTATATTGCATTTTTGTAAAACAAAATATAAAAACATTTTTCATTTATTTTCTGCATCATCAGCCAATTAAAAAATGAAAAAAAGAATAAGTGCCTTATCCTTTTCTGGTCATCGGCGACCATCAATTTCCACAAAATATGGACTGTGGTTAGTTTTTGTCGATGAATTTCTTGGCAGAGTTATAGACATATGCTACCATTTCTTTTTGCCATTGCATCAAATAAGCGACCATATGATGGTCTTTGGGATGAACAGCATGGTATGCTTTCGAACTCGATGACACTGACTTCAACGACCAAGCAGATAATCATTACATCCACCATATAATATCTATGTATATGTAATACATATTATTTATTTATGAAAGGCATCACAAATATTTCCGCCCCGGGCCTCAAAGGCCCTAGGAACGCCACTGGTGAGAAGTGATTGAGAGTGTCAAAAGCTTTAGAAAAGTCGAGAGCAATAAGATGAATATAATTATTATTTTTAAGGAAAGATGTTATTGTGGAAGTAAGAGAGATGATGGCGGATGTAGATGAACCTGTAGGGCGAAATGCAATAATGATGAAATGATCTTGTAATAGTGGTTTGATGGATGGAGGGTTGAAACATGGATAGATGAATGACCCAACGATGAATTTTTTTAGAATACGTGAAAGTATGGGGGTGAGAGATATTGGTGATGATGGGTATTTTGTTTTAGGAATTAGATGAATTGTGCTGGATTTCCATTGTGATGGGATGAATGAATGCATTAAGCAGTGATTGTAGAGTGAACTTAAGGTGTTGGAGATGAATGGAGCGATGATTTGTAAAAACCATGCTGGTAGACTGTCTGGACCTGTACCGGATGGACAGGCCTTCGTTAGCAAATGAAGGACGGAGTATGGGGTAAATTGTTGATGTTGACGACGATTGATTGTTGTTGCTTTTGTTGGTGGAGTTTTGTAGGACGGGTCGGTTGACGTGGAAGCGAAGGGGGTGGGTGTTGAGTGTGTTGGCATCAATTTGCTGTGAGGTTGACGTGTTGAATATTTTGTCAGAGTCTCTAATCTTGTTGACTTGGTCCCACATAGCTTTGCTTCCACGCTTACTAGTAGTGAAAGTTTTTGAGTTGAAGTTGATAATTATTAAAGTTGATATATTGGAATCCATCATATCTCACAACTCTCACCGGTTTGAATTACGCATCATATATCAAACTATGCATAAAATGAATTGCAAATTATTAGAAATAAAACTATCGGGAAATAACTTATTGAAGAAACAAAATAAAAATAAAAAAAACCTCCCCTTTTCTAGTTAAAGAAGCTGGCTTTTTTGGCATGCTCTATTTTACATTCGGTTGCAGTGCAATCTTGAGAGGATTCACAAAGCTTATGTTATGTTATTGAGTTGACATCAAGATGGCTGTTCCCTATCGTCTGATTTCTCGCAATTTAATTTTTAAATCGCGTTTTCTTTTGCAGCATCAAAGTAAAAATTATTTTCATAAAACGATTATTGCAAGAGGTTCGTCTTTGCTTGCTCATTGTTCATTCAGGATTATAATTGTATATTTTATAAAATTACATAAATTTTGTATTTTTGTAATTTTAATTTTATAATTGGCTGGATTCTGTCTGGCTAGTTAACTCAATAGATTAGATAGATAGAGTATAGAGTTGGCGGCAGTGACTAGTGGAGTATCATTTTGCTGTGTTGTGTGCTCACCCTGTTCAAATTTTGCTGCTACACAACTCTGTACTTTGTACTGTATCTGTCAAAAACTTTTCAACAAAACTTGTGCATATTATGTAAGGCTTGCCTGTATAATAATATATCTAGTTAGTGTGTAGAGATAGATTTTCTACTATTTTTATTTGATTTTTGATTTCCAATAAAATGTTTAAATTTATAGGTTATTAAAGAATTAGGAAAATAATTTTTCTTAGATGCAAAATGTAATTATACACAATACTCCAAAGCCACGTAAATTGGGCAGCAAGAAGCTGGCAGGTTGTAGTTTGGCCACCTCAAGGCTAACAGTATAAAGTAATCAGGGAGTTAAAATGCAAAAAATCATATTAATAAACCAACTAGAAAACACAAGAAGGCTATAGGTTTTGATTTAGTAGGGGTCTGTCCTGAGTGAAAGGTTCATAATTATTTTTAAAAATGTACAAAGTTCACAGCCAAATATTATCTTGACCACTTCATTAAAACTCAACTCTTGTCAAATACATGCTACAAATTTTGAGTGAGAGCATATGCGTCTGACACCAAAGAAGGATCTCCAGTTTTGCTAAAAGTTAATGTTTTTTTAACTTTGTGTCTTAGGATCTCTGTATGAAGTATGTCATGCTTTAGTAGAGCGGAGGTCATAAAATTTGTGATGATTTGGGAGGTGGAAAAGGATGAAAATGTTCATGTGACTTCCTGTTTTGCTCTTTTAAATTTTTTTGTAGTAAAACAAAATTGTTGCTACAAACTATTTGTTGAAAAAGGTAATAAAATTTGATATGTGTTCAGTAAAAGTAATTAGTTTCTTTGTTTCTTTATTTTAGCCAACTTTCTTTTTATTCAAGATGTGTTTGTTCAGATTTAATGATATGTTAGATGTAATTTATTTTGATTTGTCGATCATTATTCATGATATTAATAATTGCATGAAACATTTTAAATGGTTGACAATTAAATGATAACTTTCAAGAGAGGGTCATTTTTTATGGATCCTTAGCAACCATTATAAAATATTAAAAGGCATGGCTGTGGGTGGGTGTGTGTGTGTGGGTGTGTGTGTGTGTGTGGGTGGGTGTCTGTCTGTCTGGGTGCTTGTTTCTCTGTCTTTGAGATGTGTGCCAATGGGTAGTGCAGGTGCTGTTTAAATGAGCAACAGAACTGAACTCTCCATGAAATGAAGTTGTAGAAGAAAATATGTGAAAATATGATAACAAAATTATCTAATTCCTTTCTTGCAGAATTCTTTATTTTCACCACCACAATGTTTAAGTAAAAATTAAAAAGTACCATGACTGCGTTCTTGAAGTGCTTTCAAATTTGGCTGAACTAAAATTAGATCAATCAATCCTCGTTTATAGTCTCCATCCATTATGAGTTGGACTGAAATTAGAAATTGGAAATTAATCATTTCATTTTATTTATAATTTATATTTAACTTCAGTTTTATATTAGTAAACAGTATCTTTAATTCTGTGTGGTGGGTGGTAAAAAAAAATTTGTTTGTCTAATAAAATTAATTAAAAATGTGTTTATTTTTGACAGAGTTTTAGAATTATTAACAACACACGTTTAGACGACATTTTCCCCGAGACCGGGGGTTGCCGTTTGGCTACCTATGATGAAACCGAAATACCCCTCGACGCCATCCACATCTGTCACTCGCCTCAGTATCACGCAATCCCGCTTTCACCCTGTCCTTCTCCACCTGCTCTCTCCATCCAAATCGCGGACGACCCCTTATTACCACTCCTTCAACCTCGAACTCCAACGCTCGCCTAATCCCGTCCCTTTCATTCCTTCTCAACACATGTCCATACCACCGCAATCTCGATCTCCTTATCAATGTCACAATTTCCTCATTCAGTCCCATCATTGACAATCTCGATCTCCTTATCAATGTCACAATTTCCTCATTCAGTCCCATCATTGACATCAGCTCTGTACTACTCCTCCTATCCTTCACTTTAACCCCACACATCATCCTCACCATAGCTTTTTCAGCCCTCTGCAGTACACTTTCCTCCTCTCTCCTCAACACCCAAGTTTCACCACCATATACCATCGCTGCTTTCACACATGCTTTATATACCCTCCCTTTCATCTTCACTGACCATTTCTTTCCACACAATACCCCACCCAGTTCCCAAAATTTCATCCATCCCACACGAACTCTAGCCGTAACTGCGCTCAAACATCTTCCATCCGCGTTCAGCTTATCCCCTAAGTAAACAAAACTTTCCACTCTTTCAATACCACCACTCAACCCCGTCCTTGCGTCCGTCCTATTAATCACACCATGAACACATTTCTTACATTTGAACGTGCCTTCCACCTTTTTCAGTGCCCCCCTCACATCACTACATCTCTTATGCACCCATTTCTGACATCCTATACACAATACCGAGTTAGCCTTCACTCTCCTGTCACATACCCCACAGGGGTCTATTTTACTTATCGCTCGCTCCCCACCTTCCCCACTCACCATTACCTTCGTCTTACCAATATTAACTTTTAACCCTTTCTTTTCAATAACACTTTTCCATCTGTCAAATTTTAACTGCAATTCTTCCACGCTATCAGCCATCAAGACTAAATCATCTGCATACAAAATCTCAAATAACAACCCCTCCATTATGTTTCCACACACAACATCCATCACAATTGCAAACAGAAACGGTGATAACACTGATCCTTGATGCACTCCTACCTTAACACTAAAAGCGTCCGACATCCCCCTTCCAACCCTCACCTTTGTCTTTGCCCCTTCATACAGCTGCATCACAGCTTTAACAAGTCTCTCATTCACTCCTTTCTTCCTCAACGCCCATTCAATGACCTTCCTCGGTCAATGACCTTACTCGATCAAAAGCCTTTTCTAGATCCACAAAACACATGTACAATCTTCGTTTCTTCTTTTTATAATTCTCCTGCAACATTCTCACCATGAACTACGCATCCACCGTTCCCCTACCAGGCATAAACCCACACTACATTTCATTAACTGTCACCATATTTCTCAACCTCCTCTCAAGCACCCTCTCCACTACCTTCATTCCGTGCTCTAGCAATTTCACACCCCTATATGACCCACAATCTCTCACATCTCCTCTGCCTTTATACAACGGCACCAATACACTGTGTCGCCAATCCTCAGTTATACCTTCATCATCAAACATACTGTTTGAATTATTAACAAATAGACAAAAAAGTTTTAATAAAAACATTTTGTGTTGTAAAATTTTACATAAAAATGAATAAGTTGTGAAGATAATATTTGCAATACCTGCAAATGTTTTTTAATTGTTTTCTATAGCTTCTATATTTTATTAACTGTTAAATTTTGGAATAAATTTAAATTATTTTTAATTATTAATTTCAGATGCAATAGAAGTTAAAATGCCATCTTTATCTCCAACAATGAACCAGGGAACCATTATAAAATGGCATAAAAAAGAGGGTTAGACTTTTATTAAATTTATTGAAAATTTTTGTGAATTAATTGAGCATTAATTTTCAGGTGATCCGATCATTCCTGGTGACGTTCTCTGTGAGATCCAAACTGATAAGGCAGTTCTTGGTTTCGAAGTGGAAGAAGAAGGGGTCTTGGCTAAAATTTTGGCAAGTTATTTAGCATCTGTTTTTGGCTTTTAATTATCAAATTTTATTTTCGGTTGATTTGTAGCTTCAAATTAAAGCTAGATGTAAAAAGTAACCAGAGCATTTTTTACTCAGTTTTTTAAAGACATATTTAATAAATATAATAAATAAAAATAAATATTTCTAACAACAGTGTGAAGATTTAACCTGTAGAATTAATCAATCATTCCCAACATCATTTTCAACAAACGAACAAAACTCTTTACATCTTTTCCAGAGATTAATTTTAATGCTAAGGTTTTAATGCATATTTTCTTGTTACAAACATTATTCTCGTTTTTTGACATTTATTTTCATGCTCAATTTTTCAATGTGTTACTGTTGATTGCATTATTCAACTCTATTACTTGTGGCTGGTTTTCAACTATTAAACAAGTATTAACTATCAACTGCATACTTTCCAGCCTGTATGTCAGAAGGTAGTCCAGTTTTTCTTAGGTAATCTAGTCCATAGTTATAATGAAAATACATATGTCTAGGGGTCTGTCTGTAGATATCTATACATGTTTGTTGCGTCTCGCTCCAATTTGTCAAAAGAAATTTTGCCAAACAACATTTTGCCAGAAAATTTTGCCGAAATGACATTTTGTTGAAGAGATATTTTGCCCAAGACATTGAATTATTTTTAATTGTTAAACTTATAATAATTTTTAATAGTTAAACTTAAATAATTTTTTATTTGTTTGATGAAATTAATAATTAATATACTGATATTAAAAATAGCATTGATGACATTGGAGGTTGAGTTATCATAAGTAATGATGGCCAAACTGCCAACTTATTTAGTTAAAATTTTTGCAGTTCTTATAACAGATCTTAAACGTTTTTTCAGGTGTTTTGGTGTAGTGCAATGTTTAACACGTCATTGAAACTAAATAGGTAGCCTTTTAGAAGAATAATATTTTCTTATTAGGTCTCCTATTATTATCTTATGATTTTGGTTTAAAAAAATATTTTGACTCTAAAATATAATATCAATACTCATTGAAATCTTTATTTAAAAATTTAAAGATGCTTTAAATATTTAAAAGTGTAAATTTATTTTCTGTTTTTATGCAGTTTGACCGCGGCTATGGTGTAGTGTTTAGAGTGCTGGTCAATGGTGTTTGCGTCATCAAGTTCAAAACCAAGCTATGCCATAAGTCAAAGTTATGCATGTGTATATGATGCGGTGATTAGCGGTGCTCTTGTGCACGTCACTTGTAGACGGTCTAATTTTCCATTAGAAAAGCGTCTCCGGCGAAATGTCTTTTTGTAAAATGTTTTTTGGCAAAATTTTTTCGACAAAATGCCTTTCGGCATAATGTCCATTCAGCAAATTGTCTTTCGGTAAAATGTTCTTTCGGCAAAATATCTTTTGACCAAATGTCGTTCGGCAAAGTGTTTTTCTGCGAATTGGTAGGATGTATTGTTTTGTTGAAATTCTTTTATAAAAAAAGATATGGATGGCCTGTATTTTGTTTAAAGAGTTTAATTTTTTTTTTAATTTATTAGGTAGTAAAACGATAAAGGAACGCTTCATGATTTACATTTCCACTCTTGTTAATCCGTTTGGATTTTAAAAATTAATTAAAATTCAAAATTTTTCAACAGAAAGGAGATAATTCAAAAGATATTACCGTTGGCACTTTGATAGCAATCATTGCTGATCAGAACACTGACTGGAAAACAGTCAGCATACCAACTCAACAAGAAAAAGCTCCGGTCCTCCCAGCTACACAACCATTAGAAAAAGTGTCAGCAGATAAACCACCAAAACCGCTGTTAGCTTTATGGTGTTTGTGACAGTGTATATATATATATGTTTTTGACAATCTATTTTTATTTTAGATTTTACTTGTCTCTGTGTCTTTTTGTGTCTTTTCTTTCAGGTGGAAGCCATGCATGGTTCAGTTGAAATTTTTTATACAAATGTTTAAAGTCTTTGTAGATTCTTCTCATTCAGTGATCTTGTTTTATTATGTGGTCACCATATTTAGGACATGATTTTTTACATGAATAACATTTTTGAACCATTTAATTTTTCATTTGTATAATGAAAGTTGTTATATATCTCTCAACTCTCAGTCCACTTTGATAGATTTTCATTATTTTCAATTTGCTACTGCTTTAAAATAATTATCACCCCCAAGTTTTTCTTTTGCTCATATGGCATTTAGTTTTTGTGTAGATCGTATTTCAATTATTCAATTATTCGCAACGTCTATTTATTGTGAAATATAGTCAACAAATGTAAGGTTTATAAAAATAAATTTAAATTTTTATTACTATAATATAATTACTCATAAAATAATATACTAAAGTTTATTATTATCACTGATTTTATTCAATCAAATTGTTTGCGGAAGTTTTTTTTGTTCAGCTATTAATTCCTTTTTTTCCTACTCACCAATTTATTGATGAATATACTTCCCTGAAAAGTTCAACATTGTGTGGACCAGTGGTGAGGAATCTCCTTGATCAATACCACATCAATCCTCATCAAGTACCACATACAGGACCTCATGATATTTTAGTTAAAAGGTTTCCATTTTTTAAATTCTCATTTTTTATTATTTGTTTGTACTTGAACATGAACAGTCATTCAACACTAATAATCGTGAATTAAGTTTTTTTTATAGATTTAATTTATTAAAATGAATAATTATAAGATGATATTTCATGAATTGATAGATAATAATAATATAACCAACTGAACATGCAAATGCCTCAATTAAAATTATTAAATAACGGTGGATGTTTAAAGAACCCACGTTATAAAATTTCAATTTATAAAACAGATGAGCATAACAACAAAAAATCTTTTGAAAATTTTCCAAATGAAGCTAAATTTTATTCCATCCAGTGATCTCTTGAAGTATATCAAAGAAAACAGTTTGAAACCAGCAAGTGATAATTTGACTCAACTACCAACTGAGCAACCAAAACCAGCAAAGCCAAGCGTTTCAAAAGATGTTAAAATAAAACAAGTTGTTGCAACAGGACTTTCTGACTACATTGATGTTCCACTATCTCAAGCAAGGAATCTTTATGCTAAACAATCACTTTTTAGCAAAAAATGTTTTTAATCTGTTTTTTCATATAAATAATTAAATTGTACCTTTTAGTTTTCATTTATTTTCAAAAATTAATTATAAAAATCCAAAATAAATTGAAAAAAATCTATCTTTTTGCCTACCAAAAATTGAAAATTTTTTTTTCTCTTGTTCAACAGCAACCCTAAAACCTCTTAGTTTTGTGGCATTGCATTATTAAAAATTATTTTGTATAAATTTCTAATTTTTTTAAGTTACACACTAGTCTTGCAAAGGCTGATAGCTACCTCAGTCTTCCCTTGTCCGTAGAAATTTACATCAATAAACAATGGATATTTAGATGCAAACAAACACACTGCCTTCCTTTTGTAAAAGAAACATAAATAAATAATATATTTCATTTGAACCAGAACATACCACATGCTTATTTGACTGCTAATTGTCCTCTTGATGCTGCTTATGTGCTCTGCGAGGAATTCGAAAGTAGGAAATATATTTTTGCTTATAATCATATTTCAAAATTATTTGTCTTTAATTGAGTGCGTATATATATATATATATATATATATATATATATATACACATATATATGAAATGTTAATTTATCACGTTTGTTACTCAAAAAGGTGGTTTAAGATCCAACGGATGAAATTTACTGGTGGTCCCTGTTTCGAAATTAAAGATTGCATCATGTAGTTTTGCAATATGTGTACCAAGGCTTTGGAATAGCCTCCCGCATTTTTTGAGGCGATCTGGTCAAACCCTCCCCCAATTCAAAAAACAATTATACCTTTTTCCTCTATAGAAAAATCGAAAAGTTAAACAGGAAGTTAACATGTTGTGATTTTCATCACAGCATATATATATATATATATATATATATATATATATATATATATATATATATATATATATATATATATTCAATCAATCAATCTTCGTTTTGCGTCCAGAGACCCGGTTTCCTGAGGTAGGACGTTGTTTTCTTTGCCATCAACTTTTTGCGCCAAATTAGACGATCAGTTGTATCCATTTTATTTAAATTTAGAGCTTTCATATCTTGCTCGATTGTTTGCGACCAGGACTTCTTTGGACGGCCTTTGGGACGTGTGCCAGGTACTTCAACATCTGCAAGAGAAGTTATGGCACTGTTTCCACTTCGTTTGACATGACCAAACCACCGCAGACGGTGTTGCCGGCATTCGTCCTTTATATCATCTAAACCAGCACGACGCTGGATTTCGGTAGATTTGATGTGGTCTTTCAGACTAATTCGTTGCATCCATCGGAGCATTTTCATGTCGGTTCGTTGAAGTTGTTGTTCCAGTTTGGTTGCCATTGGCCATGTTTCTGCACCATATAACAACACCGGACGTATCACAGATTTATAAAGTCTTGATCGTAGTGGTAGTGGGATGTCACGCCGCATCAACATAGAGGCAAGGAGATGCCATTTATTCCAGGCTGCACGTATGCGTGCTCGAACGGCAGCTTCAGCTGTTCCAGTACAATCCAGAACATCCCCTAGATATTGAAACGATGTGACTTTCTCTATTTTAATGGCTTCAAAAACAGTGCTATTTCGAATTTGTTGTTGTGGATTGATGCAAGCAGGACAAACAAAATTGGACATCTTAGATAAACTACCAATTATTTTTGAACAACGTTTGTGACACACTGGTTGCACTGCTGACACTTGATTGAATTGTTACCTACACCAGCTTTACAAACTGAACAGGGCCATCGTCCAGTAGCTGTGGATTGGATGGGTTCACCAGTGTTCATTGCTTTGGTTTTGCTGATGTTGACTTTGAATCCATGATCGGCGAGTCTGGTGTTCCAATCTTCAAACATCTGTGCTGCATTCTGCTCAGACGTGGCTGTTAAAACGATATCATCAGCATATACTAGATTCCAAATGTCACCAGTGCGTATCGGTTTTGTGATTTATTCCATCACAGTTATAAATAACAGTGGACTGAGAATCGAGCCTTGGTGAACTCCAACGCCGATGTCAAATGCATCTGTGTTTCCAACCGTTGTGCTGACAAGAGTCTTAGTATTCGTATACATTTTCATTACAAGTCGAACAAGATTTTCTGGAATGAGTTGTCGACGTAGACTCCACCTGATTGCTTCACGGGGAACTCGATCAAATGCTTTTTCAAGGTCTACAAAAATGTGTGATAGTTGTTGATGCTTTGCGAGGTACTTGTCTTCCAGTTGCCGAAGGATGTGAATTGCATCAATTGTTGATTTCCCCGCTAGAAAACCATATTGATAATTTCCGATTGTGATGCACGACGTTAATCTTCTCTCAATGATTTTTTCGACAATTTTCAGGGAGTGTTCTAACAGACGTATACCCCGATATGATGAACAGTTTAATGGATCACCTTTGCCTTTGTATAGCGGGACTGTCATGCTATAGTTCCATTCAGTCGGCATTGAGCAATTTTTCCAGATTTCACGGCAAAGTTGTAGTAACGTTTGGATACCTGCAGTACCAGATGCTTTGATAATGTCATTTGTGAGTCCAGATGGCCCTGCTGCCTTTCCTTCCTTCATAGCTTTCAGAGCTTCTGTAAGCTCCTCTACAGTGATGTCTGGAATCGGACCTTCGATGGGTGGAGCGTCAAAGTTAACATTGATGGGATTTGTTTCGTTTAACAGACGATTGAAGTATTCTCTCCACTGTAACTTGATCTCATCTTGTTCAAGAACCATCTCATTTTTGTCGTTTTTGATACATGAGGCACCAACTATGTCTTTTTTCGTACGCTTTGCTTGTTTTGCTATACGATACAGAGATTTCATTTGTTCACCTATGCTTTTAGTGAGCCACTCTCTGCACTGATCTGTCCGTGCCAGTGCAACTTGACGTCTTGCATAGTTGTTCTTCTCACGGAAAATTTTATGGTCATCTACAGACTTTGATTTTTGCCATTGCTTGTATGCAACTTTCTTTTCAGCTATTGCATTTTGTACACTGTCATTCCACCACCAAGTGTCACGTTCATGCTGACGTATTGTACCAGTTTTCTTTTAAACTGTAGTTGCAGCGTTCATTAAAACGGTTTTGTATGTACTCCAATCTGTACTGGTTTGCGATTGGTGGTCTAACTGTGTGGCGACAATCTGTTGAAATTTTTCTCGATGAATATTGCTTTTCAGCTTCCACGTTTTGATTTTTCGAGGCATTTGTTTAGACTTATGTTTTGACAGCTCGACAACCAGGTCTGCCACAAGGAGTCTATGTTGGGCGACACATGATTCGCCAGGTATAACTTTGACGTTTTTGAACAGCCTTCGGTGTGGTTGCTTGACAGCGAAGAAATCAATTTGCGTGGCTGATGGTCCACTTTTGTATGTTATGAGATGTTCCAACCTCTTTCTAAAATATGTGTTCAGTAAACAAAACCCGTGACTTTCAGCAAACTCAAGGATGCGGTTGCCATTTCATTCCGTTTTCTATAGCCAAAACCGCCATGTACGTTGTCAAAACCATCTGTTTTCTCTCAAACGTGGCCATTGAGATTGCCTCTAATCAGGATTGTTTCAGATTTTGGTATTGTTGAGATGGTGTCAGAGAATGCAGTCCAGAAGTCATTTTTCATCTCTTCTGATTCGCCTGTCTGTGGTGCCTATGCAGAAAAAAATAATCATTGTTTGCTTTTCTATGCGAAGCTTGATCCACATGGGACGTGAATTAATCCTTTTAATATCCAGTACTTCTTGGGCTAGCAGTTTTCTGACAAAAATTCCAACACCATTTTTGGCCGTCTTTTGACCATTCCAGAATAGTTTATATTTTTCTTTGTCTGAGTTGACATGACAGACACCATTCGATTTCCATCGGGTTTCCTGAAGGCAGCAGATGTCAATCCTTCTACGCTCGAGCATTTCTGCGATTTCCATGCTGCGGCCAGTCAGTGATCCAACATTGAGCGTTCCAAGTCTAAGTACCATAGAGGGGCCATTCTGAATTTTTCTGCAACATCCCTCCGCTATTGCATACTTCCCAGAGATTCTTGGCACCCCTTGACCACTTAAGGCCTGCTGGGGACTAGGGGCCGTTGTTTTTCTTTGTGATGGCATAGGAATAATTTGGGGAAAAGTTTTTACATCCGGACACCCATCCTGACGACAACCACCAGTTATAAGCGGTGGGCCTAGCCTTTCACTCAAAAGCACGCAAGGCAGCGTGGATGCAGTTTTATGTCATACTCAGGACTATATATATATATATATATATATATATATATATGCGTTTCTTTTATAGCATTACTTGATATGAGTGCTGCATTTGATTGTGTCGATCATACTCGTCTCATGTATAAACTCTCCACAAATTTTTTTCTCTCTGATTCAGTCTTATCGTGGTTCGCTTCCTATCTTTTAGGCCGCACCCAGCAGGTTTCTTACAACACCCTCTCTGACATAAACAAACTATCGTTTGGTGTCCCCCAGGGATCTGTGTTGGGACCTCTGTTGTTTCTTATGTACACTGCTGATGTTTTTGATATCATTCAAAAATATGAGTTCAGCTCCCACGCCTTTGCTGATGATATTCAGTTATTGGTTTCTTGTCCTGTTGATTCGATTGATGCTTCTCTGAACGAACTGACTGATTGTCTCATCGAAATTGGATCTTGGATGAGTATGAATCAGTTAAAGTTAAATCAATCTAAAACACAAATATTACCGGTTGGTTCTTGGCAGCAGCTGTCGAAGGTCAAAATTTCATCGATCAGTGTCGGCAATGACATCATTGAATTTTCCACATCTGTCCGTAGTCTTGGAGTTATTATTGACTCAAACCTAAAGATGGATTTACATATTAATAATTTAGTGAGGGTCTGCTCCAACCAACTCCGTTTATTACGCAATGTCAAAAAATCACTAAACACGTCTGTTCTTCAAAGCTTGGTTTCCTCTTTCGTCTTTTCCAGACTAGACCACTGCAATGGCCTTTTTTATGGTGTCACCAAAAGGTCTTTTTCAAAGCTTCAGTCAATACAGAATCGTGCGGCCAAGCTGGTTTTGGGTGGTTCGTGGTTCGATCATGTTACGCCTATTTTGAATAGGTTGCACTGGTTGAGGGTTGAAAAACGTGTTTCCTTCAAGTTGGCAGTTTTGATGTTTAAATGTGTCAATAATACAGCACCTCCCTACCTCATCGATAGATCGGAATCATACAAATCTCATTTTTCAAAATATTCCTTCCGATCAACCGAGCGCAATTTATTTTTTATCCCGACCACAAAGTTGGTGACGGGTTCCCGCAACTTTGCGGTTCTTGGCCCGATTGTTTGGAATGGTTTACCTCCATACTTACGTGACCCTAACCTATCATATTTACAATTTCGAAGTCAACTTAAAACTTATTTATTTGCACAATGAATGTCCGTCTTATTTGTCTATGATTTAGTAGCGCTTTTGAGATTCAACAATAAAAAACCGCTGTATATAAATTTCCGTAATAATAATAATATATGTATGTAGCGTTATAAGTGGAAATGCTAAAATATGTTACAAGATAGACGACTTAAGCAAAGAGATTAGATTGAAGATAGATGCAATCAAAGTGAAGTTGGGAGCAAATGAAAGCAAAATGTCTACATTGGATATCCCTGAATCAAAGCTCTGTAATGAAATTTTAAGCCTTAAAAATGAAACGAGCAGATCTTTCAATAGTGTGGTTGGTTCAGAGGTTAAGAAAGGTGTCTAGATTATAAATGATGATGTAAAAAAGGTACAAAAAACGCTAACCGATGTTATGGAATCGTAGGAACGAAAGGCGAACATAATAGTTTTTCGATTGAATGAAGGAACTGGTGGCAGAAGCAGGGTTTGCAGGATAATATCTCACCTGACTGATAGCGTTTATGATGGGTCGAACATAGTGAAGCTGTTTAGACTTGATAAGAAAAGTGATACTGTGGATTACTTTTGATTAAATTTGATGACGTCAAGGTAAAGGAACTCATTTTCAAGAACATTGTTAAAATGGGGTCTGTGGGCGATGGTCTGTCTCGTGTTGGTCGGAGCCACGATCTGACTGTTGAGCAGAGAAATGAATTAAAAAAATTTTTGGATGGCGCCAGGCGGATGGAGAAAAATTCAACGGAGGGTTTTTTATACAGAGTGAGAGGAGATGTGGGAAAATTGAAAATAGTTCACTTCCCGGCGAAAAAAGAGTCAAGCTAATGAATGGAGGACAAAGCCTGGGGTATGATTTATACAGCTTGATCAAATGTGGTGGTCATGGTTTTCACCCTAATGATGATATTAATAGTTATTAGAATGAAAATTTTAATCTTGGTTTGCTAAATGTTAGATCAATTGCACCTAATGTTGATGAAGTTTATTGCCTAATTAGTGATGGGTTGGATATGCTGGTGTTGACTGAAACGTGGCATCATCAGTTTATGAAATTCTTCACGGACAGGTTTGATCAGATTATTCAGACAACAGATGCTAATTCCATTCCGTTTAATGAGGGATGTAGGTCACAAAATGATTGTTGGTTTTCATCGTTCCCTGTGATCACATAAGACGAGTTAAAAAGTGTCATACTCAGCTCTCCAACAAAACAAGCTCACTTGATGTCATACCGAAACATGTCTTTAAAAATATTTAGATTTGTTCATTTGATTCCTCACCAGTTTGACTAACCTTTGTTTGAAAGTGGGTAAATTTCCTGCTAGTTTCAAACATGCCGGGGTTTGTCCAATTTTGAAGAAAACAAACTGATGTAAATGATGTTAAAATTATAGACCAATATCAAATCTTTCGTTCATATTGAAGGTTGTCGAGCGGGTTGTTATGAAAGGTCTGCTAGCCTATTTGTCTGTAAATGGTTTGATGCCGATTCATCGGTCAGCATATAGACGATTCCACTCAACCGAGACGACGTTACTTTAAATTTTATCAAACTTGTTTTCAACAATGGATGTTCAATACATTTCATTACTTTCGTTTCTGGATATGTCGTCAGCGTCTGACTGTGTCAACCATGATATACTTTTGAAGATGTTGCGGTACAATTACGGATTGAATGACACTGTTTTTGCGTGGTTTGAGTCATATTTGACGGATCGAACAGAGCAGATCTTGTTCAATAAAGTGCTGTCTGATGTCAAAATGTCAAATGGTCATCCTGGTTTTTTCAAGGCTGAGGTTGATAAACTTGCCAAAGGCTTAGCGGATGTTGGAAAATAGATGATGTTACTCATTGAGACTCAATCAGTGCTTCCGGTTGGCACATGGCAGCAGTTGATAAAATTAAATGTAAATTCCATCACAGTAAAGGATGTTAACATACCGTTTATTCATGCTGCTACCAATTTGGGATTTTTGCTCGATTGACTATTGATAAAGGATCATATAAAGATGATATCAGTTTCATGCATCTCCTGTCTCCGGAATTTATATAGAATTAAGCACTGGTTGGACAGATCACCCTTGGAAACTTTGATGCATGCGTTTGTTACATCTCGGTTGGATTACTGCAACAGCTTGTTGTATAAAATACTTGATAAATAAATCTATTGCTATTCTGCAATCGGATCTAAATAGAGCTGCAAAGTTGGTTGCTGGTAAATTGAAGTTTGACCACGTTACACCAATTTTGAGTTATTTGCACTGGTTGACGATTGATAAAATAATAGTCTTTAAAATTGGTGTGATCATGTTCAAGGCTTTAAATGTAATGTCACCAGGTTACATAACCAATAAATTTACCAGAAAAGGAACACCATCTAGTTTCTGTCTTTGGTCAGATGATACGAATCTCTTAGGGGTGCAAGTGGCAAGGTTACAGATTGGATCACGTGATATTGCAATTGCCGGTCTCACAGTCTCCCTGTATCACTAAGAAACTTGGGGTTTATCTTCAATCATTTAAAAACGATTTAAAGACATTTTTATTTTCGTTGAAGTTGCATTGAATTTGATTTTGTACCTATTTGTTTGCCACGTATATAATTAAGTTTTATTTTTGGAGAGCGCCTGTGAGAACATTGAATGGGTGCTATATATATTCCCCTTAATAATAATAAATAATATATATATATATATATATATATATATAGTGATTCAGGGTTGTCTGACTCGTTCAGTTTTTTTATTCCATGTTCTGGTGATGAAATTAAGAAAGTTGTGCTCAGTTCACAATCAATGACATTTTTCCATGACATTATTCCTGTGCATATTTTCAAACAATATATAGATTTGTTTATACCGTTTCTCACATTTTTTATCAATTTGTGTCTTGAAAGTGGTTCTAATGTTGAGTTCTGCACTTCTGTTAAAGTCTGGGCGTTGTATTTGATACTGCAATGTCAATGAATCAACATACAAAGTCATTGGTTAAAGATTGTTGCTATCAACTTCGCAAACTCAGGCTAGTAAAATATCTGTTAATAACGACACCTTGAAATGTTTGGTTCACACGTTCATTCATTCAAAATTGGATTACTGCAACAGCATTTTTTACGGAGTTTCAAATCAATTGATTAATCGTCTTCAGTTAAAAATCGTGCTGCTAAGATCATTTCCGGAGGGTTAAAATACGACCATGTCAATAATACTCTACGAGATCTCCATTGTTCACAATTAAAAAAAGAATCATCTTCAAGCTTGCCGTTATGGTTTTCAAATGTTTAAATGGTTTAAGCCCAAGCCACTTGTCTGGCAGGTGTTTATTCAAAACGAAAACTATTCATCACTTGCAATTACGCTCAGATGATCAGTTATTTTTATCGGTGCCAAGAACAAATTTGATGGTGGCCAATAGGAATTTTGCCGTTGCTGGTCCACAAATTTGGAACTCACTACCATACAGCCTCCGTCAACCTGGTCTAACTATTCAGAAGTTTTGCAAAGATTTGAAGACGTATCTTTTTTCCCGGCTGCTTTTTATTGGTTGCGCTGCCCTATTATCGTTACCTAATTATCATAAAAGTTTCCGCCTGTCTGAAGTTCGAACCATGACATACCTCTCCCCCAAAAGTTTAATATTCCTGGGGAGGTATTTTTACTTCTGAGTGTATTACTTTTCCATCACTTCCTCTTTCTCCGCTAGCCTGGTGAGGAAGTCCGCTTCGTTTTTATTTCCGGCACTATAGTTGATTTGGATGTCAAACTCATCGACTTTGAACTCTTGGGAGCCTTGAGTTATGGGATTGTGGTCTGTATGTACATGAATAGTTGACATACATATCCACACTGTGTTTTTATAGTGTTTTAGATGGCATAGGCCTCCTTTTCTTTTGTGGCCCAACGTCGCCAAGTATTCGACAGTTTCTTACTGGCGAACGCGATTGGTCGCTCTTTTCCTCTGTCGTTCGTCTGTACCAAACAACATCCGACCGTATGGTTACTAGCATCCGTGATCAATCCAAACGGTCGAGTGTAGTCGATGGTGTGTAGTCTTTTAACATTTTTCAACTGATATATTTCCATATCCAAACTCTGTTGGTGCTCATGGTTCTATTGTACCATACCACTGCCCTTCCCCTTTGTCAATTCCGTGGTGTTATTTAAAGTTCGGGCGAGCTGCGTGAGGAAACTTTGGAAATGGTTGAAGAGTCAAATTAATTATCGTACTTCTGGTCTGTGCAAAGCTGCATTTTTGGATATCAAACGTCAGTCCGGATTTTTCCACCACTTCAAAGAAGCATTTTAAAGAAGTTATGTGTTTCTCCGAAGTATGAGAGTATACGACAATATCATCTAAGTACGCCTCAGTAAAACCTTCTACATCATTTGTCATTCCCTCATGGCTCAGATATAGATGATATTGGCTGATTTCAACCCGAAAAGCATACGGTTAAGTTCATATAAACCGAAATCACATACGAAATCTGTTAGTCATTTTGATCGATCCACCTTCGGTATCTGCCAATTTCCGCTCTTGGCGTCAAAGCTACTTATGTAGCGGGTTCGGCTCACCTTTTGAAGTACGTCCTGAACATGGTTCGACTCACCTTCTGAAGTCCGTCCTGAACTGATTGCTTCGTCAATAATTTAAATATGTGCCATTTGTTTTCGTTTTTTAATTAAAACTCTAAATTTCAATTTCAGAAGAGAAATTGCCTATGTCATGGGTTGAAATATTCATAAAAGCAGTTGCTGTTACTTTAGAGGTACTTGCATTTTTAAGTTTATTTTTCATTGTTAACAAATAAAATTCAATATTTGTGTCGTCTGTAAGCTCTTATTTACTTAATTCCATGCATGCATAATAATTTATCATTTATATGCAATGCATTTTCAACCTTTTATTAATTTGAGTTTTTGCCTCGGTTAGCACCAGCTTCATTGGGGTTAGGAAAGTGCAAGTTACATTCTTGGGAAAGTGATGGAATGGTTGGTTAATAAGAGTTTAAAGAAAACGTGAATACATTAACAAAATTTGCAACCCGATGAAATTTTGGAAAATACAAAAAAATGTGAATAATGAACGCGAAAAAGAGAGAGAGAGAGAGAGAGAGAGAGAGAGAGAGAGAGAGAACAGAACAGACATATTTACAACAAATATGATGCTTTGATGAAGGCCGGTTTTGAAAAGTTGGGTGCAAATAATAACGCAGTGCCAGAAATATTGGAATTAGCTTAGCTTGGAGAAAGATTAAGGAATTACAGCTGTTCATTGGGCTGTAGGAGTTTATATTTGAAGCTTAACATTTGTTGTAATATGTAAGGTAGGCTCTAGTAATTGTTAAGTTTATGGAAGCGAGAAATAATTTCTATATTAGGAAAAAACCTGAGAAGGAATTTTGAATAATTTTAATGGTATCTAATGACTCTATTTCTATTGTGATGTTTATAATTCTTTTTGCATTCACAACAAAAATCTTTTAAACTTTTATTTTTCAAATAAAAAATATGTTTTTATGTTTGTTAGAGTTAGAATGCTGATTTTAGCAGAAAAAACTACGATGGATTTGTAAGAATGATGATATGCTTATTATATATCTTTTAAACTATTATGTTGCCTCTGTTCCTTAGAAATTTCCTGAACTGAATGCAACCTGGTCTAATGGTTCAATATGCAAATCAGAGGATATAAGCGTTTCATTCACCGTTGCTGATGGTAAGGCCTCTGTTTCGTCAACGTTGAAGGATGCTTGCACACTGACTGCTTTAGAAATCTCCAAACAAATACAGGTAATGTCGTTGAATTAAAAAATATAAATATGCACTGCGCTGACACGTTTGAATGATGTTGCAGGATTCAAAAATGAAACATGCGCTGGGTAAAAGTGATGCTCCTAGTAATATATCCTCTCAAAATCCCTCCTTCATGTTAGATTACAAATTTTCAAAATTTTTTTTCAAAATTCATATCATTCTGTAGTGCTTGTTATTATAGTTATTGTCGCAGTTGTTTATTCATATGATAACTAAATTAACATAACAGGGAAATGAAATTTAAATGAAATGGATACAACTGATCGTCTAATTTGGCGCAAAAAGTTGATGGCAAAGAGAACAACGTCCTACCTCGGGAAACCGGGTCTCTGGACTCAAAACGAAGATTGATTGATAGGGACACTAAAAAAAGCAAAAAGAAGTTTATTAACATAATCACGCGTTAAGTGACCAGCTGATGAGTTGAGGGGTCCGTTTTTAAGCGCCTTTATTTGTCAACATTTCATTAATCTTTTTGCTAATTTTGTACGTGATAAAGTGAACGCATTGAAAAGCTATAAAATTTTGTGAGTTTCCTTACTCATATTAATGTCTAATACTTTGCAATAATACTTTATATATTATCCAGTTTTTATTGATTTTGTTCAAGCATATTTTGTCACGCTATTTATTGATCTATTATTTAACAAATAAATGATAATTTGTTTAAAACATTAATATTATGGAATAATTATATCCAACAGGATATCGTTTTTGGATGCATGCGGCATAACGGGTTTTGCATCGCCGGTACCGCATCCTCACGTTGCTTGTCTGTCAGTTGCTTCTCCGTACGTTCATCTGAATGAAGACATGAAGGCTTGCAATCTCGTAAACGTGACGTTGTCTGTGAATAACCAGATAGTGGATGATGTTGCTGGCACTCAATTTTTGGATTGCCTCAAAAATTTTCTGGAAAATCCATCTCTTCTCATTAGTCGCAGACTTCGCACATCGCCCATTTCATTGGAAAATCTTTTTAAATGAAATATTAACATGCAATTTAATTTATACATTTTTTGATAACCCTTTCTTCCATGTCAAACTCGGTTTGTTAACTTCAGATGTTAGAATTGTTAAAATTGCTAAAATTTAATTTATTGTTAACTTCAAAATTTTCACACTATATAAATTAGTACGATTTTTAATTAATTTTTGTTACGAAGCTGCATTTAATATTTTTTTACTATAATCATTTTCATTTTGTCGGTTGGTTCGTTTGTTCTGTTTGTCCTTAGGTCCTTCATTTATTTTTTCACTCAATTAATTAGTTTTTATAGTTTTTGATGGTTTGCAATGTGAAATACTTTGTTGATGAAGCTATCTCAAATTATGTTCAAGATGTTCAGAACATAACATAACAACACCTACTTTAATATATGACTTTTCCTGCAAAAATACTTCGTAGGCAATGAATTTTGTAACATGGGATTTGAAAATATTACCACTTTATTCGTGAATGTTGGTTGCAAAAGAATCGTCTATTGAAAGCATTCAACATAGACTACAGCGGAATAATAATCCCCTCAAAACCATCTATGGCAGCGACATAATCTTACACTGCTGGAATCGACTGTCAACGCCAAATAAAGCGGACGAAACCATCTTCAAGCAAATAAAAAAGAAACGTTGCACCAATCTGACAGACTCAAATTTAGGATGTATTATAACAACAAGAAGGCATCACAATTAGTGATAAAGAATTCTAAGTGTATGTGAAGAGCAACTGCAGCTCTAACCTAGAGACTATTCTATTTCGAAACGAAAATCATGTAATATAACATTGGTGTCAGAAATAAGATTTTTGATAGATTGAAAATGTTCTACAATAAAGAATGCCGTCAGTTGAAGAACTCGATACATTTGGTCTGAAGAAATAACTACAAAAACGAAGCCTCAACTCGAAAGGACGAAGGCAGTTTTAATAAACCGCCTAAGGGACGCTCTGGAAAACGAAGTTAACTATCCGAATTAGTTTGACTTTCCGGATCGTTTTATAGAAGAAATTAATATAATTTTCGATCAACACACAGCCAAAATGATTAAAATAATAGGATCAGCCTATGAAAGAACATCAACTAATGGAGTGTCAACTGAAAACAACTCAGAAATAAATTTGCGATAGCTAACCGGAGGAACGACAAATGAACGTAACCGAACCAGTAACATTATAAAAGATCCTGATATCATCTCACCAGCTATTTTTACTACCGACAATTACATTAGCGATCGCAAGTCTATTCCTTTCTATGGATGATTTCGACTTCGATGCACGTGTTAACTACGATGCACATGACAACTGCGAAGCACGTGGCAACTGCGATGCACGTGATAACTGTGACGCATGTGTTAACATGAGGAAAGAAAGTTATTGTAATAATGAAGCTGAAGACGAAGACGACGATGAAGATTTTAAAAATATAGGAAAAGTTGACAGAGATAAAGACACTAAAACTTTTTATATGCAGTGGGACTACTACTCAGAGGTCTTTCTGCCAAATCGCCTGTTTTCATCGATAACAACGGCAGCATTAACATTAATAGCAATAACGATTTCAATGCAACACTCACCAACGATTCAAATTGTTGATGGTTTGGGTAAGACGTTAATTTGGAAAAGCATTAATCTAGAGATTAACGATGTCAGTGAAGATGATTCTAATGCTGGTGTTCATTCCGGACACGAATTGGTAATAGGTGATGTTTCATGTTTCGTTAAACCCCTCTAGCCCGCGCGCGCTTGGAATGAAAGCTTGATCCTCGTGTACCTGGATGATAACATCAACGATGTCTTCATTGCTGATGAGGATGAGTTTTTCATCGCCCTATCCTTGATCGACAGGGAAAATGTCAACAACGAATTTTACAACAAGCATCAAAGGTACCCGTCTTGTCATTCTCCACCCCGTAAAATCAATAGAAAGAAAGCACTTGCTTCAAGTACCAAAAAAATCAAGAAAACACCTCGACGTCTTCTTATGATTAGAGGAACCGAGACAACGTTAACGTGGCATGACTCGAAAATAAATAACGCAGGTTTCCATACCGAAGACCTGGTCTGGTTGTACAATCTACGGCGTAGAAAAAGGCGATGCCCGGCGAAACTTTCACGGAATTAGAAAGATCGGTACAATGTCACTAACAGGATAAATGACGTGACCTGCAGGACCCAAGATCATGGAAAAAATGGACAAAGATGAAAGTTGTCCAGTTGAATAGTTTACCTCCTATTATCGAAATAAAGAAATAACGCCTATGTAAGGGACTAACAAGCTAATGTTATTACCGCCGGAATGATCGAATTGTGCTATATTATTATTTTAATTATTGTTATCTTTGCTATATTTGTGATTTTTGGATAGAGGATTGCTAATGATATTTGTGATCTTTTGATCGTAAAAATTTTCCGTTGAGGCTGTATATAGGTTCTGCGTAAATACAGAAAGTAGTCAAATTTCTAGTGATATTCGGTGCGAAATCGTAATTGTGATTTATGTAGTTATTTAGATTAGTTTTGTGTTTCTATTACTGTTGGCATTCAAATAAACAATCAACAAAGTTTGCATTTGGAGCCGTTGTGTTCATCTATCGGAAATCTGGAACCTACGGAATAACAAACACTTGACGACCGTTGGAAGCGAAACACTGGTGTTGGAAATATAGAGATCTTTGAAATTATTCAAGAATTAAATGAATGTGTTATTTTCAATGATTGGTACAGTTGTATAAAAAGGGAGGAAAAGACCTGGCCCAGAACTGTCGTCCCGTGGCACTCACATAAATTAGTTGTAAAATCATGGAACTACTGATAAATGACTATATCATGAAATATTTCATCAAAATAAGTCTCTTTTCAAAAGTCAATTTGGTTTTATCCCTAGACGTTTTGCGGTTTTGCATCTTTAAAAAATTTGGTAGATATAACTGAGGGAGTTGACCAGGGTCTCGAGATCAACGTAGTTTACATGGACCTTGAGAAGGTGTTTGACAAGGTTTCTATACTCCTTTGTTTTTCAAACTTCAAATCTGAAAAGTTTTTTTGCTTCTGTAACTTTACACAAGTCTTTGGCGAGGTCGCACATGGAGTACGGTGTTTAAGTATGGAATTCTTACAGATTCGGTTTAAGAGAGGAACTGGAAAAAGTTCAAAGAAGGGCAAGCAACTCGTGTGAGAACATCTTGCAGAGGTTTTCCATACGAGCACTGGTTTAGGGAATTATAGCTGCCATCTCTGGTCTACAGACGTCTAAGAGCCGACCTTATTTTGTCAGCTCCCTGCCGAAGTTGTCCCTACGTTACTGTTTGCACACGATGTTCGTACAAGAGGCCATAAGTTTTTTTTTCCGAATAGAGTGGTAAAAATGGAACAAACTTCATTCGGCCGTTTGTTAATGCCATCTCCTTGAGTGGTTTCAAGTCAGCCGTCGATTTTATTTTCTTTTATTTAAATTATTATTTCTTTTATTTTATTTTACTTTTTATGTTTAAACATTTTACTTTCTCTGTTTATTTATTTACTTATTCCTTTAATTTTATACTACTGCCCTGCATGCTGTAGCAGTTTCTGCGTCTGTCAGACAGGCCCGCCGACAGAAATTTCGGGCCCCTAGGCTGGACTGTGACGGGCCCCCCGATGACCGCGGAAGATAAACCTCTAAAGTATCTTATTTTAGGTTACATGACATTCAAAAAAATTCGCATATCATATACGTATACTACTTGTACCTTAATATTTATAATTTAAGATTGACCGCTATAGCCAACAAAAACAAAGTATAGTTTTATTCAGTTTTTATTTGAAAAAAAAAACATTAAAGTTTACTTTTTAAATCAAATATCCAAATGTAACAAATCGGTATTTATTGTTTTAGAAACAAACTCTCCTTGATTTGGCTAAGGCAAAATTGTTAATAACGTCATCAAAATTCAATAACTTTGCCAAATCATGTTCAATCGCCAAATTCGCAAGACCGTTCAATCGTTCTTGTTTCATAGTTGACCGCTGCACACTTTTTATTTGCTTCAGCTTGCTGAATGTCCTTTCAGCTTCTGCTACAGTTACAGGAATTGTACAAAAGATTCGTAAGGCAATAGCAATATTTGGAAATATAGATTCCAATTTCAACTGATAAATTTTATTCAGCAGTTTTATGGGATGAAGATTTTCACTCTGTATGGTATCCGAATAAATTGATTTTAGATATTTCACTTCATTAATTAAGTCACTGCTGACATCTTTGTCATATTCTTTGCAGAAATTAGAACATTTCTTTTCCAGATCACTTTCTCCAAGTTCTGTAAATAACCACAAAAAATTGAAAGAATTGTTAATATTTCTAGCCATATGGAAACGCTCTGTTAAACCAGATATTATACTATCGATAAGTTTATAGAAAACGTTCACTTTAAAATCATCATCCACTTCATGTTGTGCACTTTCTTCTGGCATATGTTGATTTTCATCATAATGTTATAATACTCGCTGTCGTAACCGGTTTACGATGCGACGGGTTCAAATCTTCGATTGAATAAAATACTCCAAACAGTTATTAAACTTTATTTACAGAAGAAATCAACTATTATTAGTTATTAAACTTTATTTACAGACGAAATCAACTATTATTAGTTATTAAACTTTATTTACAGAAGAAATCAACTAATCGTTTATTTCCAGTAAATTCGCACTAACGCAACAATTAACTTTTAAATCTTTCAAAATCTGTCGCTATGACAACGTCAACAAACAATTCAAATATCGCTTTAAATAATTCACCGAATCGCTATTCACAAAATCACGAATTTCACTAATCACGAATATCACTAATCACGAATATCACTAATCACGAATATCACTAATCACGAATATCCCAATCACGAATATCACCAATCACAAATATCTTGCGACGTGCGCTTATATACTCTTCGCAAGCGTCGTTTCTAGATTCTTCCCGATGGTCCGATTCCAGCATACTCTAGAACGTTCCAGTCACTAGAACATTCTAGAATACGCTAGAATCTAGTGCGTTCGGTAGCACGGTTATAACATTACCCCCTTCTTAGTTCTGTTCGTCCCGAACAGCTTTCGTTCCGGTGTCCGCATGGTACGGAGCCAGTCTATCCAAATGGACGATCTTCATTCTTGCTCTCGGCTTCCGATATTCCTGAATACGGTAGACGACGTCATTCAAGCGGGTGATGACTTGATAAGGTCCTTCCCATCCTCGCTGGAGCTTTGGAGAACGTCCTTTCTTCCGCTGTGGGTTGTACAGCCAAACTAACTCGTCGACAGCAAAACCGCCACTGCTTCCTTTCAAGTCGTATCTGGTTTTGGCCGCCTCCGTGTTTTTCATAATTTTAAGGCGTACGTAACGGTGGATATGGTTTAATCGCTGTCGAAGATTATCCACGTATTCTGTTAATGGTTGGTGTGGTTCGGGTGGTACGCCATATTTCACATCAGCTGGAGTTCTTAAGGTAGTCCCAAACAGAACTCTTGATGGCGTTTCTCCAGTAGTTGTGTGGATAGCACTCCGGTATGCCATAAGAAACAATGGTATATGACGATCCCAATCCCGTTGATTTTCATCGACTACTTTAGCCAGATGTTCAATCAGGGTTTGGTTGAATCGTTCCACCATACCGTCAGACTGTGGGTGAAGAGGTGTCGTTCGAGTTTTGTTTATACCTAGCAGCTTGCACATTTCACCAAACAGTTGTGACTCAAAATTTCGACCTTGATCTGAGTGGAGTTCCAATGGGACACCATATCGACTAATCCAATTGAGTACAATTTCCTCAGCGACGGTACATGCTTCTTGGTTGGGTATTGGAAACACCTCAGGCCATTTGCTGAAATAGTCCGCTACAACCAGAATGTAACGGTTTCCATAATCTGATACCGGAAAGGGTCCAGCAATATCTATAGCAATCCGTTCAAAGGGGACACCAACATTGTAGATTGCATGT